AGCTTGAAGGTCTTTCTCTGTATTGACACCCCCCCCCCCCCCCCCCCATGTTCCTGCAGCCTGAGAACATTGTGGTGGAACACGTCTCCTCCCAGCCCGTGATCAAGCTGACAGACTTCGGCGACGCAGTTCGGCTGAACCCTCATACCTCCTACATCCATCCTCTGCTGGGGAGCCCCGAGTTCTCTGCTCCAGAACTGGTCCTGGGTCAGCCCGCCTCCCTGATGTCTGACCTCTGGAGCTTAGGTCTGTAGATAACCATCTACATAACGCCAAGTTATGCTTTATATTCATTTATGTTGCATCTATATTCTACTTGAGATGATAATTTAGTGCTGATTTCACTAAAATATGTTACCAGAACCAGGATTATTGAGCATGAACTTTGGTGTTACCAGAAAGGTCTCTTTGTTTTTAGAGGAGTTCTGTTAAAGTCCCAGACTGCATGATATTTCAAGTTTGAATAAATTGCATCAAAGGTAACTAAATTACATCAAAGGTAATTAAATTACATCAAAGGTAATTTAACTTCTTTGGTTCTTCCTGTAGACAGTTTGCTTCTCATCAGATTCTCAGATAAGATCAAAACTTCATATTCAAGAATTTAAAAAAATATAGCTGCTTTTGATTTGGATTATCACCTGGATGATCAGTAATCTACACCAGCATGTCTCTGAAGACTGAAGTTAATTTACCATAAAAGACAGAAGATTAAAACCTTGATTGATGTTAGTTAAACCAGACATGGTACATTTAATAAAACCAAACATAAACAAGTAGCAAAGACTGAAAGGCTGAATCAACCGAAGCTTCATGAAAAAACAAATGTATGCCCCCGGACCCCCCAGGACTGCTTCACTCAGCAGGTGCTCAGTGACACATGCGTACAGGTGTCCTTCCCTGCCATCAGCAAATGTTGGCAGGTGTGATTCAGGCTTTCACTATCTGTGTTAAATTCATCATAATGGGACAACCTGGTTTCTAAAACAAACATCAAAAAGAAAGATTTTTAGTTTCTTGTGTTTGTAAATTGGCAGTGAGGATTTAGAAAATGTGCAGGGGGGCGCCACCAAAAATCATTCGTAGGGCTCCACATTGTCTAGGACCGCCCCTGTGCCTTACTGACTGACTGTGGTGGCGTTTCAGTTTCTGATGTTAAACAATATCATTAATTCTTTGGAATGGTTGCTGTAGGCCACGGTCTACTTCCTGTCATCCTGACATGGCTCTGCCCCCCCACCCCCCACCCCACCTAAGATGCTAAGTTCTGAGTGTTTGGTGTGATGGAAATATCTCCTGGAATTACTCCAGGAAAAATCAAGGGATTTAGATTTCATGAAATGCTGGGAATCTTGGCTTTGAGAACAACCCTGGTGCAGACCCCCCCCCCCCCCACACACACACACACACACACACACACACACACACACACAACTTGTCCAGTTACTGTATTAGTTGTAGATTATCCTAATAAGTTGTAATAAAACAATAAAAGGCATCAGACTTATGTTGTTGTGTGTTTGTGACCCGGTGGTTTGCAGGTGTGGTGACCTACGTTCTCCTGAGCGGCGCCTCCCCCTTCCTGGATGAAAGCCTGGAGGAGACGTGTCTGAACATTTGCCGCCTGGACTTCAGCTTCCCCGAGGACTACTTCCTGGGTGTGAGCCCAGCTGCCAGGGACTTCGTCTGCCTGCTGCTCCGGGGTGAGCCGGAGCGACGGCCCCCCGCTGCGTCCTGCCTGCAGGAGCCGTGGCTCCGGCCGCCGGGCGTTCCCAACCGAGACGGCGGGTACGGGCTGCTACATCCGAGTCATTACGGCACACATCTGGACACCTCCAGGCTCATCTCCTTCATCGAGCGGCGGAAACACCAGAACGACGTTCGGCCTGTAGGCACCGTTAAGACCTTCCTCCAGAGCCGCCTCTTCAACCACACCTGAACCAGAACCATGTTCAGCACCCCCTGAAACCTTCTTTAGCGCCATCTCCTCCCCCACAAAGAAAGAAACCCCCTCCAGAGCTGCGATCAAATCTACTGAGACCTTCAGCGTCACAAAGACCCCCTCCTCCTTCATGGAGCCACAGAAGTCCTGCTGCTGCTGACTGACAGATAAACCCTTCCACTGCCCCCTCCTCACCCCTCCTATTTAAAACTTTGGCATATTTAAACGATGCCTGCACAACAAATGAAGCGTTGAAATCTGAGTGAGATTTCAAACTTTGACTCAGCTGAGGTTTCTCGTTGGGACAGTGTTAAATAAAGAAAACTGCATCACAGGAAACATTCAGGCTGCTTTTGGTCGAACAAGAGAAAAAAGATTTTTGTAACGAGAGATTACTTCTTGTTTTGTAAAGGAAACTGTGTACAGTCAGGGAAACAGAATCGTCTTAATTCAACACTTTTTTTTTTTAAATAGAGGCTCGAGAAGGACGTGAAGATCTCATCAGCAGCGGTTCTGCCTGGACCCACCAAAACCAGGTTTTCCAGAGAGAGACATTAAAGTTACATCCTGTGCAATAGTTTTTCATCAGCCGCCTCAGTTTGAACCGTTAAATCACTTCAGACTGAGGCGCAAATAACACGAAAAAACATAAAAAATTAAATAAAAATGCATATTCGGCAAAGCTTCCCAGATCCTGAGCTGCATCCGCCTTAGATGTAAATAACGTTTTCCTGCTTCGTGGATTTTTGAAGAAAAACCGTCTTTGTCTTCGGTGAGTCCGAGCACAGAAATGCACTCGTGTTTGGCATCGTGTGCAACGTTGCAGCTTTCCCATGTATGCAACTATTTATGAAGACTTGTGTTGTAGCCGTATTCTTAAAAAAAAACTCAACAAAGGCATGTATGTACCTGGTACTGCAATCAGTGTTTGTATTGTGTTAACTTTATGTCTTAAGTTCAGTATTAAAACCTGCAAAACCACTAAAACTATGAAGGGTTTTGTGGAGTGATGTATAGAAACGTGTATCTATAAATTTACAGACACTTTCATCTTTTTGTTTCATTCCTTGTTATGTTTTCATTTTCTGCAACAAAACCAAAGTTGACTCCTTTTTATTGTAATTTTATTTTCTTTGTTTCTTCCTTGTCAAGTGGTGGCAAACCGAAATGTTTACAGAAGTGTTAATTTATTTTTACCGTGGTAAAGCGCTCATTGTTTGGTGGTTTCTTGCTGAAAACGGATTTTTCATTTCAGGCTGTGCACAAAGTGGTTTCCTGTGTGACTTTGTTTGGCTTCTGTAGGTAGATGCTGGTGTTCCTGGTGTTTTTTTCCCCCCCCCTCGTTTAATTTAATTTGACATAATTTATTGACATCTTCACCAAGCAATACAAAGAAAGGTTTGTTGGTGGGGACTAAATCATATCTGGTAAAAGTCCATCGGCGTCAGGGCGTGTCAGTTCAGATGAGTCGATTGTTGACTTAAAAGATTGAAGAAACCTGTATTTTATTTTGAAGGGCCACATGAGTGGAATAAACCTTAAAGGGTGGTGGAAGCAAAAAGAAAAATGTTGTTTCCCGTCAGTTCACATTTTGTTGGTTTGTATAGTCTGTCACTTTTTTCTCCAGCTCTGGGTTTCTCAAAGATTCTTCTGACCAGATTTTGTCAAAAACCCGTTCCTGGAAGGACCTGAGGGGAAACCCGGTTCACGTGGGATGTAATAAAGCTGTACAGAGAGGGTCCGAGGGCCATCTGCGCCCTGTGTTTTCAGAACACCCACGACCGGCTGCAGCGACGTCATCCTGAATGTCCGCACCCGACTCTATGACTCATTTTTACTTTTGCATGTACATTTCTCTGTACAGAAGATCGTGTTTACGTGTTGTAAATAAGTTACTTTGTCCTGTTATTTTGCCAATAAATGTTCAAGGAACAAGCAGCTGCTGCCGCTGAAAAGTTTATTTTTTCTTTTTACACGCACGTATGAAAATGTCCTGAAACTTTGTGCCGTTCATTCAGAGCGTCCTTCTATCCGCCAGCTGCTGGAGGGGAAACACTGAGAAATGAACGCAGACAACAATCGATTTGTTTAAACTGATTCATCACCGCCTGCTGACATAAAGTGGACAGGAATGGTTTTGCTTCTGTGTTAGCAAAATATCTCATGAACCACTGAGGAAACTTTAATAAAACTTTCAGAAACATCTTTGAATTGTAGATCTACAACTGATTAACATCTGGAGCCAATCCAATTCAAAATAATGTTCTTTTCTGTCTGTAGGCCAATATTTAAATTACCTTTGAGGTCCAATTATTTTAGAAAAATATGGTTTTAATCAACTTTTGACCATTTTAGATCCTCGTGAAATTCGTGAAGAGTTGCAGACTAGTTTTAAATCTCGTCATAACTCTGAGACGTCACTTTTAAGAGTTTATAAAGATCTTTTAACCTCTTTAGATTTGACTCCTGCCTTTAATTCAGTCAATCACAGTCTTATCAAGACATGAATACCGTGGTTCACAACTTATTTATCTGACAGATCTTTTTTCTGTTTCCATGAGGGAATACTCTTCCTCTGCACTTATTTGTTGTGGTGTACCTCAGGGGTCCATTTTGGGACAAGTTATGTTCTTTTTATACATGCTGCCTTTGGGTTCATTGCTACGCTGATGACATCCAAATATACTTCCCTTTTAAATTGAACATCTCTGCTCCGCTGCAGCCTCCGTCCAGCTGTCTCCATGATGTCAAAGACTGGTTCACTCTGAACCGTCTGGCTAAGAATGAAAATAATACTGAAGCTATTTAATTTGGAAATCACTGTCAATATGTTAATTGATATCCTTGGCCCTCTTGCTCCTCATCGTTCCTCCACTGTCAGGAACCTTGGAGTGTTTTTAGACAGTTCTTTTAAATTTGAGAAATAAATAACCTCGGTTGTTAGAACAAGTTTTGATCCATTACATCTAATTGCCCAAACTAAATATTACATTCTTCCAAAATATTTAGACTACAATCGTGTCTTAAAGACAGAAAAACCTGGATGACCCTAAATTTTCTGATTTTGAACACAGACAAGACTGAGGTTTTAGGTTTTGGACCTGAGCATCTTAGGAATACATTTTTCAGTCTTGCATCCTCCTTAGATGACATTAATCTGTCCTCCAGCTCTTGTTAAAACTCTTGCTGTTATTTTGATCAGGACATGTCTTTTAATCCCCACATTAAAAACGTTACTAGAACCACCTTCTTCCACCTGTGTAATAATATCACTAAAATTAGAAACATCTTATCTAAAAATGATGCAGAAAAACTGGTCCATGCATTTGTCACGTCTAGACTGGACTATTGCAATGGTTTATTATCTGGGTTTCCAAATACTTCTTTAAAACATCTTCATTTAATCCAAAATGTTGCTGCCAGAGTCTTAACTGGAGTTAGTGGGAGAGATCATATCTCTCCAGTTTTAGCTTCTCTCCATTGGCTCCCTGTCAAATCTAGACATGAATTCAAAAATCTTACTTCTAACCTACAAAGCTCTCAACAACCTAGCTCCATCTTATCTTTGAGATCTTATTGTTCTATATTTTCCTAATAGAGCACTTTGCTCTCAAACCACAGGTTTACTTGTGGTTCCTGGTCCAAAACGCTGCTGCACGTCTTTAGTGGAAGATGTGACCTCATCACCCCAGATTAAGCAGATTTACACAGGCTGCCTGTTCATTTTGTATTGATTAAAGATTATTTTACTCACTTTGAACATTAAATTGGCTTCACATCTAGTTATTTTACTAAACGCCTTGACTTACAACCCTTAAAAAATCATGGAGATCTTTCAGCCAGATGATCTCAGAACAGCCGATGGCTAAAATAAAGTGCAGAGAGGATCGAGCCCCCAGACTCTGGGCCAACCTGCCCCTTGCATCATTTTTACTTTGTCTTTTAATTTGAGTTCAGTTTGTTCCATCAGGTCTGCTAGCCTTTTTTACTGTACCTGTTGGTTTTTATGTGTGACCTTTTCCCTCCTGTTTGTTCTTAACCTCACTGTGAAGAACTTTGGTCAACATTGTTGTTTAAAATGTGCTTGATAAATAAATTTGACATTTACAGCATGGCCATTAAAGCCAACTGGCCTTAAAAATGTAAAAATGACAATAACTGAATAAATTTTACCAATAGCAGATGCAAAAAAATGGTTTGGTAGTAGCTGAGAGTCGTATTTTCTAAAGTCTGATGGCCACACTTTGTTATTTATCAACGTTGGATGAGCTTAAATTAAAACTTTGACATAAAAAAAATAGTTTTCATCTCAATGAATCAAACACTGACTGTGAGATTTTCTTTTTTAATTTAGAACAGCCTTTTTTTTTTAAAAACAGAGCTGCATAATGAGACAGTGTGTGGATTTAGAGTTCTGAAGAGCTTGAGGTGTGGAACATAGGAGGGGGTGTCACTGATCTTATCTCCTGCTGCAGATGCTGTGCATGCTCCGAACATCAGGTCACTTTCCCCGCCTTCGTCCTCCTCTTTTATTATTAGACACTCAGAGAAAAGAGCAGAATTGGTTCCACAACTTGAACTTTAAATGTTACAGTTGATGATGAAGATGAAGGTTAATGGATGAATGTTCAGACAAATCAGCAGCTGCTGAGCTTCACTCACTGCACCCCATTCTCAGATGTATTTTATCAGGTGTGAAATCTTTCTGACATTCTTTGCAACAGCAAAGTCAACCTTTGTGCATGAAAGCACAGAGGGCAGATGTGTGCGGCTCCTACAGGTTATCTCACCATCACAATCATGTGCAGAGCGGTGAAGTGTGAAGGTGATGCATGCTGTGGCACACTTCTCCCTTCATGTGATTATTATGTTAAACGTTGATCTGCTTTAAATTCATCACTAGTAAGAGGTGACACCTAACATTCATTTGTGTTTAACTTTATAAGAGAAGATATCACTTCATTGAAATAATGAGGTAGCAGAAATGATGACAGAATAAAAGTGATGAAGTGACAATTTTCCATGTATTGAATCCTGCAGGCACTCACTCTTTGATCAGAGTTTGGTTTCAAACTGAGACATCTTTAATTACTGAAATATGCTAAAACAACAGTTTCCTTGAAACTCTTTGACAAACTTTTATATGGTCAGTTTTCTTGGAAAAAGAAAATTGTATGCACTGTATTACAAACACAAAAGAAAGCACAAAAGTACTTGGCTGCAGTAAACCACAACTTCCACTAGATGGCGATAACGAACTTATTTTAGATGAACCAGGCCCACCAGAGGACCACAAACCAAGCATGTAATCTGTCAGAACATAAATGCTTTTTTGTTTTTGATGCTTGCCATGTTTTATTGTGGTTTCATATGTGTTTGTTACATTAGACATGAAATCTCTCATTTAAATTAAGTTTCTATTGTAACGTTGTAACATTTTGACCTTTCATATGAACTGCTATGAAATGTTTTAGGATGGCAGCAATGCACTTTGATCTGGACTTGGACTAGTGTTAGCTTGTTAATCCAAATGCTCCTTGTCATCTAAATTACTTTATGAGCTAAGCAGTGACCATTTTAGCCTCTTTTA